GAACAATGGGAATTCTAGAACACTTAATTCTGCTCGTGAGGGACCTGTACATAGAGATCAAGAGGCAGTTGTGTATATCTGCATTGTGGATCATCTTTATATATGTGTATGTGTGTACATAGTCTACAAATATATATGTGTGTGTGTATGTATATATATATGTGTGTGTGTGTGTGTGTGTGTGTGTATATATATATATCGCATCACATACTTTGGACATGTTATCAGGAGGGACCCGTCTGTGGAGAAGGCCATCATGCTTGGTAAAGTGGAGGGTCAGCGAAAAAGAGGAAAACCCTCAATGAGATGGATTGACACAGTGGCCCCAACAATGGGCTCAAGCATAACAACGGTCATGAGGATGGCACAGGACTGGGCAGTGTTTTGTTCTGTTGTACACAGGGCCGCTATGAGTTGGAACTGACTCGATGACACCTAACAACAACAACAACAGCAGCATATAGTAAAACCTGCAAATGGCAGAACCTGTGTAAGGTGGAAACCCATTCGAGAAGGTAAACTCAAATATTTTCTACTAAAAGGAGTGATAGAAAAGTGGTAAGGCTGCATCCTGTCAAAGGTGGTAAACTTGCAAGACCTGGAAAAGCAAGGCAGTCCTATCAAGTTCCAGCTCTCCCACGTTTCACTGTGTGTGTATATGTATATATATATATCCTACAAATCCATAAGAAAAAGACAACTTAGCACAAAAGCAGGCAAAATACTTGGACATGTCACAAAGGAGGAAATCCAAGGGAACAATGCACATATTAAAAAGGTGCTCAGTTTCTTCAGTCATCAGGGAAATGCAAATTGAAACCACAATACAATACCAATACCACACCCAGCAGAATGGCTAAAATGAAAAAGAAAAATAATACCAAGTGTTGGCGAGGATGTGAAGGAGGGGGAACTCTCAGACACCACTGGTAGGAGTGAAAACTGGTTCGATGACTTGGAAAACTGGCAGTTTCTACTATAGCTGAACATATCCTATAACCCAGAAATTCCACTCTTTTGATGTGAACATATGTCCATCAAAAGAAGATGAATTCCCATCAACAGTAAGATAAATAAATTGTGGCATCTCTGCACAATGGAACTACACAGCAATGAGAATGCAAGATCCAGAGCTACATGTAACATCATTGGTGAATTTTACAAAGAAAATGTTGAGCAAAAGACAGAAGACAAAAAAGAGTACATACTGTATGATTTCATTTATATAAACCACAAAAAACAGGCAAAACGAATCAATGTTTTTAGAAGTCCAGTTTGTTGCCACCCTTGGAGACATCCTGGAAGAGGCATGTGGGGAATCCTGGGGGTGGCTGGTCATGTTCTTTTCTTGAGCTGCGTTCTGGTGACCAGCTGTGTTCAGTTTGTGAAAATTAATCAAGCTGCTCACTTAGGATTTTTGCATTTTTCTATACATATGTTACACTTTTAAAAAGACCTTTACACTGACTGCTCTGACCAGGATCACAACAGAGGGTTCTGGACAGAGCTGGAGAAGGATGTAGACCATAATTCTAACTCACAAAAAAAAGGCCAGATTTACTGGCCTAAAGAAGACTGGAGAAACCCGAAGAGTATGGCCCCCAGACACCCTTTTAGCTCAGTGGTGAAGTTATCTCCAAGGTTCACCGTTCAGCCGGGAGTGGACAGCCCTGTAAAACCAAGTGGGACTAATGAGGTACAGTAGTCCAGTGACATGGGCCAGAAGGCAGAAGGGGACAAGGAAGCTGGTGATAGGGAACCCAAGGTTGAGTAAGGATATTGTTGATGTGTTGTGAGATTGTTAACCATTGTCATAGGGCAACATGTGTAGTAACTGTTAAATGAGAAACTATTTTGTTCTGTAAGCTTTCATCTTAACTGAGAATAGCAGCACAATTGGAAGAGCGTAGTCAATATCACTGAACTGTGCATGTAGAAATTTTTGAAATGGTGTACTTTGGCTATGTGTATTTTCACCAAAAAAAAAAAGGTTGAGAAGTTAGAGGGTTGACATGTTGTGGGGTTGTTAACCAATGTCATAAAACAATATGTGTACTACTGTTTCATGAGAAACTATTTGTTCTGTAAGCCTTCACCTGAAGTACAATTAAAAAAAAAAAAAGTTAGACCTTTACATACTGATGTGGATACATGTTTAAGATACATCACTGAGTGAAAAAAGGTAGGTGTAAAACAATCTGTAAAATATGCTAGTTCATTAAAATAATAAAATCATCAATAACAGCAAACATATTTTAATGCTTTCATTGTTCTAAATTTATTACATATATGTATTAGTTATCTATTACTGCGTAACAAATTACCCCCCCAAAACTTACTGGCTTAACACAATAAGCATTTATTATCTCACAGAGTTTCTGCAGGTCATGAATTTGGCAACAGCTCAGCTGGGTGGTTTTAGCTCAGGGTCTCTTACGAGGTTACAGTCAAGATGTTGGCCAGGGCCACAGCCATCTGAAGACTTGATTAGGGCTGGAAGATCTGCTTCCAAGATGGGTCACTCACATGGTGCTGGTTGTTGTCAGGAGCCCTCAGTTCTTCCCCATTTAGGTCTGTCCACTGGCTGATTCACTGTCCTCACGACATGGTGGCTGACTTCCCTCAGACTAAAGGATCCCAGAAAGGCAGCGAGAAGTATTATGGATTGAACTGTGCCCTGCCCCAAATATATGTTCAAGTCCTAACCCCTGGTACCTTTGATCATGACCTTGTTTGAAATAGGGTCTTTGAAGATGTTATTAGTTAATATGAGGTCATACCAGAGTAGGGCGGATCCTAATCCCACCTGAGTGGAGTCCTTCTGAAAGAGAAGAGATACCATGTGACCCTGCAGCTGCAAGTCAGGGAATGCCTGGGCTGCCAGAAACAAGGAGAGAGGAAGGGAACAGATTGTCTCTGAAAGCCTCAGAAGGAATCAACACAGCTAACACCCTGATCTCGAATTCTTAGCTTCCAGAACTGTGAGACAATTTCTGTTGTTCAAAAGCCACCCCCTTTATGGTATTTTGTTGCAGCAACTCTAGGAAATAAAACACGGAGGAAGCCTCAATTCCTTTTATGACCTAGTCTTGTTATTCACATCAACACTTCTACCTTGTTCTGTTGGTTAGAAGCAAATCACTAAGTCCAGCCCAGGGAATCAAGCTCCACCTATTGAAGGGAGGGGTGTCAAAGAATCTGTGGACATATTTTTAAACAGCTTCATACATTAACTCATTAAGTCCTCATAATACCCCAATGAGGTGAGTACTGTCATTCATTTCTATGTTACAGATGAAGAAACTGAGGTACAGAGAGGCTAAAGGTCACACAGAAGGAATAGAGCAAAGACTTAAATCCGGGAAGTTAACCTGCGGGGTCTGTTTTCTTAATATTAACGGAGGAGTCCCTGGGTGGTGCAAACAGTTAATTCGCTCAGCTGCTAATCGAAAGGTTAGCCATGGTGCCTTAAAAGAAAGGAGATCTACTTCCAAAAAACCAGCCATTGAAAATCCTATGGAGCACAGTTCTACTCTGACACATACGGGATTGCCATGAGTCAAAATTGACTGGATGGCAACTTGTTTTCTGGTAGTATTAACCAATAGGGAAAAAATCAGTTGAACACCATTAAGAACACTGACAGGACTTGATGACCACTTGAGTGGAGAAGAGATAGAGCCTAGGATGACACCCATGTACAACTTCCACACTTCTTTGATATTGGGGGCCTGTCGCTATGAGTCGGAATCAACTGGACGGCAACGGGGTTGGGGGCCCTTTTTCTTTTTTTTTTTTTGGTATCCAAGAAAGGCAGGATAGCAGAAAAGTTAATAATTTAAGTTAGGGTCAGAGTCAGAGAGATCTATGATCAATTTGGCTTAAGGCAAGTAATTTTACCCTAATTTCTTCATTTTAAACGGGGCTGATAGTACCTACCCCGTAGGCTGTAAGTAAGGATTAAAGGAGATAATACATGTAAAAGAGTCAGTACAGGCTGGCAGAGGAAGCGATCAATAAATGGTGCTGTTTAATATATATTTATTAATTAAATATTATCCTATTGAATTATTTATATAAATTTTATTGTATTGAAATGTCTCTCCCCCATAATTTTGAGTTGGTGACTCAAAAGACTCCCTGTTTTGCTAAAAGTGGGGAATAAGTTCTCGCTGGACTCCTGATTTGGGCTGAAGGAGTAAATCTATTTCAACTAGATTTAGAAATAAAGTGGGAAAGGCAGTGCTCAAGAATTCAGACCATGTGAGTACTTTTGGCTCGGGTCCACTCTCCATGCACCCACTACATGGATGGGATAACTGAGACCCACACATGAGCGGGGCTACAAGACAACTTACTGGAAGAGTTCAATCTTCAAGAACGGGATTTTCTGCAGATAAAGGGGTCCTCAGTTGCTCACTTTTCATTCACCCCTCCCCTCTTGCTCAGAAACAGCAATTAGCGTGAAGAACTGCAGTTTTTCTGAGAAGGAAGTTGGATTTATCAGTCTTTTGTGAACCTGGGTCGCCGTGAGTCAGAATCTACTGTACGATAATGGGTTTGGTTTTTGGTTTTAAGAGGCCTGAGGGAAGTTAAAAACGGAAGAAAAACCCTCTCTGAATGCGGAAGGGTTTTTTCCAGTTACGAGACAGGGAGACGCACACAGTGTCAGGGGAAGGAATCCCCCTCGGCCTTGGCTCAAGTCTCCGATCCGTGGTCTTGATGGATTTGTGTGTTTTCTGAAGAGAGTATCCGGGAGAAAGTGTCGGCGCTCAAACAATCCCAGCCACACTCCAGATGGCAGCTGCTCGGCCACGCCCTCAATGGCGGAACCTCGGGCTGATGGGGATAGATGCTGTTTTCCCGAACTGGAGCGAGACAGGGGGAGAAAACGTCCGTCACAGATCCACCCCGCCCCCCGAGGACGGCGAGGGCCAATGAGCGGAGCGCAGGGCGGGTACTAGGCCAGGGGTGGAGGCTGCTGTTGCCCTAGCAACAGCTACGGATACCGGAGGCGGGCGCGGCCGCGGAGGGATCGGCTTCTGAGATCTCTCGCTGCTTAGAAGGTGCTGGGAGAGGCGGGAGCCAGGCCTGGGAAGTCGGCGCCCTCGGAGAGAGGGACAGGTCAGACTCAGGAACTACAATCCCCGATGCTGGTTTCGCCGCTATGAGTCGGAATCGACTCCGGCAGTGGGTTTGGCTTTATGGTTTTTAACCGTTAGGCGCGCTAAGGTCGGAGTAACGCATGCGCTGTCATGAGGGGCGAGGCTAAGGCACTTACAATGCATGCGCCTCTTGGAACTTGGGGCCGACGTGACCCTAGGAGGCGGGGTTCTTACCCCCGTGGGCGGAGCCTTAGACCCCTGGGCGGGACTTCCCGCTGGACTGAGCCCAAACCAAACCAAACCAAACCCATTGCCATCGAATCGATTCTGACTCCTAGCGACTCTGTAGGACAGGTTAGAGCTGCCCCATAGGGTTTCCAAAGAGCGGGGAGTGGTTTCGAACTGCCGACCTTTTGGTTAGCAGCCGAGCTCTTAACCACTGCCCCTCCAGGGCTTCGTGGACTGAGCTAGAGGTACCCAAAACCAAACCAAACCAAACCCCTTGCTGTGGAGGCATTCCAATTCATAGCGACCCTATAGGACAGAGTAGAGCTGCCCCGTAGGGTTTCCAAGGCTGTAATCTTACGGAAGCAGATGCCACATCTTTCTCCCGCAGAGTGGCTAGTGGGTTCTAACCCCCACCTTTTGGTTAGCAGCTCTGAACCACTGTGCCACCAGGGCTCCTTGAGTTGGAGGAAGTTATTTTGTGGTGAGGCAGAGTTAGACGCTAGCTACTCTGCCCAGCACTCCCATTTTTCCTGGGTTCTCCTGGGGAGACAGGGTGGTGGTTAAGAGCGTAGCCTCAAGGATTTGACAGACGTAGCTTGGAATCTTGGTATTGCCATTTACTCAGTGGGCCTCAGTTTGCCTGTCTATCAGATGGAAAAAATAATGCTTCACAGGGCTGTGATTATATTTTTCCCCTCCCAGGGCCATGGCTGAGGTGCACGTGATTGGGCAGATCGTGGGGGCCACTGGTTTCTCAGAAAGTAGCCTCTTCTGCAAGTGGGGCATCCACACAGGTATTCCTGGGTCTGGTTTGTTTCCCCACCAAGACCCTGTGCCCAGAGGCTCCATGCTCCCCCCTTGACCCCCTGACCCAGTCCCTGATCCTCACCTTCCATCCACCCTCAGGACTCAGCTGTCCACATGAGTCTTGGGCTCCCTTCATATTCTGGCCCTGAGGGCTCTGTCTTCCACCCTAGGAACCAACAGCTTCTAAGGTTACGGGACTGTAGGCTAGACCCTCCCACCCCCACCCCACTTCAGTTCTCAAAATCTAGGCAGCCCAAATCCCCTGCTGGGACTTCACTAGTTGTCTGAAGGATGCCGTGGGACTCTCCCCTGTCTTAATAATAATTCTTTGGTTAACAGCCTCTGTTATTCAGTTCTTACTGTATAGTGGAAATTTCCATGCTCCATTAACAGAGGAGAGCCCACCTTCTGGTATTCACAGTTCTCTTGGAGAAGGTAGGAACTGGCAGTCAGCGACATCCATCCACACAGGCTTAGAGGGGGACCCCAAAGCCCCCAAGTTTCATGCCTCCCCATCTGAGGCAGTATGCATAGTAATTAGGACCACGGACCACCATATCTGGGTTCAGATACTAACTCCACCTATTAATTGGCGGCCTTTGGCCTTGAACTCTCCGAGCCTCTGTTTCCTTGTCTGAAAATGAAGCTAAATAGCCGAGAGGCAGCACAGTGTCCAGATGAAGAGCACAACCGCCTGTGCTCAAAACCAGCTGTTGCTTATTAATTATGTGCCCTTGAGCACTTCTCTTTGCCTCGGTTTCCCTATCTGAACAATGGGAACAATAATGGAATTTACCTCATGGGGTTGGTGTGAGGACTGTATAAACATCAACAGCGCTTAGAGCAGGCGCTGGCAGGGAGTAAGTGCTCAGTGTCTGGCTCTTTTAAGCCTTTGATGGGGTTTTGTTTGTAAAGCCTGGTGTGTGTTGCGCGGCCCGTGCAACCGATGTGGTTATTTCCATCAGCACCCCTTCAGGCTCTGGGTCCTTTATGATTTCACTGGTAGGTGGGGGAGTGGTCGAGATTCCCTGGGGAATTGGGATCCTCCCGCAGAGTGGCTAAGAGGCAGGCTCTGGAGTCAAACTGGGTTTCCAGTGTGGGCCCTACCACTCAGCTGCCCTGGGGCCCTGGGCACGTGCTGTTGCCTCAGTTTCCTCATCTGTGTGTTGGTGTTGTTAGGTGCTGTTGGGTCCGTTCCGACCCGGAGCGACCCTGTGTCCAGCAGAGAGAAACATGGCCCAGCGCCATTGTCACAGTCCTTGCCATGTTTGAGCCCGTTGCTGCAGCCACTGTGTGAAACTGTGTATATAGTGGGGGTGAGATCCGTCCTTCGTAGGGTTCCTGGGAAATCTCATATGTGAAGAGCCTGACTCAGGGCCTGACACTGCTCATTCAGTCTTGTGGGAAGGTGGCTAACATGGTTTTTATTAGTTCAGGGAGGGAGTTGTAGGGACCTGGGGGATCGTCCAGCAGAGAGCTGAGAGGCAGTTTGATTGGGCTTCACAGTAAGACAGTGCTGAGCTTGAATCCAGCTCCACTGTGGGGCCTCGGTCTGCCCAAGTGCCTGGCACACAGTAGGCACTCAGTAAATGTTGGTGGAATGAATGACCAAGTGATTTTCCTTGGCAGAGCCTGGTCCTTTACCTGTAAAACAGGGATTATATTAGCACCCACCTCTTAGATCATTCATTTGTCCAACAAATATTTATTGAGTGCCTTCTGTATACCAAGCGCGGGGTTGGAGGTCCTAGGGATACAGCAGTGCACAAGTGCCGCACTCTCTGGGGGCTCCCAGTTGGGGACACAGGAAATAAGCAAAGAAGTGAGCGCAGGGACTTTAGCTAGTGGTCGGTGCTGGGAAGAAAGGAGATGGGAGGATGTGATGGGGACTCATTTTTGCATCGGAGTGTCAGGGAGAGCCCCTCTGTGGAAGTGGTGCCCAGCTGAGGCCTGAAGGATGAAAAAGAGGCAGCCACTGGGAGATCCAGGAGCAGAGCTTTCTAGGCAGAGGGAACAGCAAGTGGAAAGGCCCTGAGGGGGGAATGAGCTCTCTTGGTGGCGTGGCGTGTTGGGGAACAGAAATAGGAGCAGTGAGGCTGGCGGGGTGGGTGATGGGAGATGAGGGCAGGAAGGTGGACACGGGCCAGGCCATGCAGAGAGTCTGAGCTGGGGGGTGGGGTGGCCAGGGTGGGATTAAGAGTCCTAGAGGACAGATTAAATTCATTACCGAAAGCGATTAGCACAGCACCTGGCATTTAGTAAGCACTCAAGGCATTTTTGCTATTACTATGCACCTTCGCGGTACGCCTGCCTGTGCAGAATACTTTTCACCTCATCTTAGTCCGTGGTCTAGGCCCATAAATATGGAGCGGGGATAGTAGTGAAAAGATATTTCATCCAGCACTCACAATGCTCCAGACACTGTTCTAAGCGCTCTGTGCGTATTAACTCGCTTAATCTTGTCACAGACTATGAAGAATGCATTATCGTTACACCCATTTTACAGATGGGAAGACTGAGGCAGAGAAGGGTAACTTGCCAAAGGTCCCAGAGGCGGGAAGAGTTAGTGCCAGGATTTGAACCCAGACATTTGACTCCAGAGCCTGTGTTTTGTAACCCCTGCCCCCAAATGTTAGGGAGAAACGGGGTCCTACAGCCACAGTGACATGACCCTTCTCTGCCCCATCTCAGTGTCCTGGTTCTCCTCGCAGGGGCGGCATGGAAGCTACTGTCGGGCGTGCGGGAGGGCCAGACGCAGGTGGACACCCCCCAGCTGGGGGACACGGCCTACTGGTCCCACCCCATCGACCTGCACTTTGCCACCAAAGGCCTCCAAGGTGGGTTCCAGGCGTGGGCCCTGGGTCAGGCTGAGGGGAAGGAGGCTAATAGCACCCTAGCTGCTGGGATGAGAACACCAAGTCTTGGCCCTGTGCCCCGTTCCTATTTGGGTCCCTTTCCCAGCCCAGCCTGGCTCCAGAGAGGCTGAGCTGAGGCATCCCCAGGCGGCATCTCAGGGGATTCCCAGTGTGAGGGGCTGGGGCAGAGACCAGGGATGCACGGGGAGGTGGCAGCCAGGGTCGGGTGGGGGGAGATGGCCTCTCAGTGAGGAGGAGACAGAGGGAGAGAGTCTCCCATAAAGAGGAAGCTGGGAGGGGGTTTATGACGGAGAGAGAGACAGACAGTGAGGTCTGGCTGCTGCTTTTCAGGGAGGAGCTTGAGAGCAGAACCTCAGAGGGGAGATGAGTATGTGGGGGAGGAAGAGTATCAGAAAACATTTTCTGGTGGAAAGTTTGCGTTATCGCAGAAGAGCAGATTCCAGGACTGGGAAATAACCAAAAACCAAACCCACTGCCGTCCGGTCGATTCTGACTCATGGCAACCCTGTAGGACAGAGTAGAACTGCCCCGTAGGGTTTCCGAGGCTGTAAATCTTTATGGAAGCAGACTGCCACATGTTTCTCTCATGGAGGGCCTGGTGGGTTCAAACCACCGACCTTTCGGTTAGCAGCTGAGTGCTTTAACCACTGCACCACTAGGGCTCCCTATGTTAGATGGTGCCGGTAAGATATCAGTGACTGAGACAGCCCCAGCCCCGTCCTCATGTGGTTTCCCATCCAGTGGAGGACACAGGCCTGTCCCCACACAGCAACAGCCCAAGTGGACAGGGCTGGGGTGGGGGGCCCCTGGGGACTGGGAACCAAGAAGAGATTCCTGACCCTGTCAGGGAGATCAGGGAGGGCTTCCTGGAGGAGGAGACATTTGAGCTTTGATGTGAAGGGCTAGTAGGCACTAATGAGGCGGAGGATGGAAGAGAATTCCAGGCAGAGAGAGCTGTGGAAGGCTCAAAGGGAGAGCGAGCCAGGGGCATTTGAAGGACTGAGGGAGAGTGTAGGAGGTGGCAGGGAGTGAGCTGGCAGGGGACAGGCCATGCAGGGCCTTGAAAGCCAGGCTGAGGGGCTGAGGCCGTTTGGAGGCACTGGGCAGCCAGAGCAGGTGATGAACAAGTTGTATTTCACTTTTAAAAGATCCTTCTGGCTGCCGAGTAAGCAATGAATTGGGAGGATGAGACAGGTAACTGTCCCCCAGTGTTGGTGTCATCCTCACCTCGTCTTGTCTCAGCCCTGCATTCTGTTCATCAGGAAACCCCATCAGCTCAACCTGTGAACTACATCCTAAATCCCACTACATCTCAGACCATTCTCCCCCAGCACCTGATCCGTCCACCTTCATCTCTCACCTGGGCTATTGTAGCATCTCCCTGGCTCACCCCCGGCCCCACCGTAATCTGTTCCCCACACGGAACCAGCGGGACCCTGTGAACACCCAAGTCAGATCACGTCCCTGCTCTGCTCAGAACCCTCCCCGGTCCCCATCCCACTCGGTAAAAGCTAAAGTCTTCCCATGGTGTCTTAGTTATCTAGTGCTGCTAGAACAGAAATACCACAAGTGGGTGGCTTTAATGGACAAATTTATTTTCTCATACTTTAGGAAGCTAGAAGTCCGAATTCAAGGTGCCGGCTCTAGGGGAAGGCTCTCTCTCTCTTTTGGCCTTGGGGGAAGGTCCTTGTCTCTTCGGCTTGTTTCCTGGTTCCTTGGAGAGCTCCATGTGGCTTGGCATCTCTTTTCTCCCATCTCTGCTTGTTTAATCTCTTCTATATCTCAAAAGAGATTGACTCAATATACACCCTATACTAGTCCTGCCTCATTAACATAACAAAGACAACCTGTTCCCAAATGGGATTATAACCACAGGCATAGAGGCTAGGATTTACAACACATATTTTTTAGGGGACACACTTCAATCCATAACACATAGATTACGGGGCTCTGCACCATCTGGCTCTCACCTCCTGCCCCTCTCTCCCTGACTCACTCCAGTCCAGCCCCACTGGCCCCACCAGGCATACTCCTGCCTCAGGGCCTTTGCACTGGCTCTTCCTGCTGCTGGGCATGTTCTTCCCCTAGATGTCCACATGGCCCCCTTCCCTCCTTTAAGCCTTTGTTCATATGTCACCTTCTCAGTGAAGCCTTTCTGGACCACCCGTTTGTAAAGCTGCATCCCCACCCTTACCCTACCCTGCTTAATTTTCCTCCAGAGCGGTTCTCACCATCGGACATACCCTATAATTTACTTATTTACCATGTTCACTGTCTAGGATGTCAGCTTCTCAGGGGCAGGAATTTCTGTCTGTCTTGCTCATGCTGGATCCCCAGCTCCTAGAACAGGGCCTGGCGCAGAGGAGGAGCCCAGGACGGAGGGTGAGCCGGGGCCAGGTCTCCAAGGGCCTTGGCCACCAGACCGAGCAGCCAAGCTGTATCCTGAGGAAACCTATGGAAGGGGGAGAAAGATGCTGTCAGCTGCCAGCTGGAAGGGGGGTTGGAGAAGACAAGACAGAAGGCCGAGTCAGGGAGGTGTACTGGGTGGGGCCGTGGGGATGGAATGGGGAGGCATCTGGGACAAGGCCCAATGCTCTGATCTGAGGACTAGGGAAGCAGTGGGGCCACCCTGAGATGGCGACACAGAGGAGGCCTGTGGGTGCCACAGGGGCCAGATCTGAAGGGTCCTGAATGTCAAGGAGGTTGGACTTTATACTGAGGGCACTGGGGAGCCATGGAAAGGTTTTGAGCAGAGGAGGAACATGGATTTAGAGAGATCCCTCTGGCTGCTGTGTGGGGGTGGACCAGAAGGTGGAAAACCAAGGAGGAGGCTGGGGCAAAACCTGGGGAGGGGTGGACGGAGGAGCGGGCTGGGGTCTCCAGTGGGTATCAGGGCAAGGGGATCGGGGAGCAGGAGGCTGGACTGCGCCCATCCCTCCTTTCCTTGCTCCCTCCTGTCCTGCAGGCTGGCCCCGGCTCCATCTCCAGGTGTGGTCCCAGGACAGCTTCGGTCGCTGCCAGCTTGCTGGCTATGGCTTTTGCCATGTGCCCAGCAGCCCCGGCACCCACCAACTGGACTGCCCCACATGGCGGCCCCTGGGCAGCTGGCGGGAGCAGCTGGCGCGGGCCTTCGTGGGTGGCGGACCACAGCTGCTGCATGGGGACACCATCTACAGCGGGGCTGATCGCTACCGCCTGCACACGGCTGCTGGCGGCACAGTGCACCTCCAGCTTGGCCTGCTGCTGCGCCACTTCGACCGCTACGGAGTTGAGTGCTGAGGGACTCCGCCTGCAACATCTGGCCCCCACCCACGATCGACGCCTGATGAGGGACGGGACGGTACAGTGGCCAGGAGCTTGGGATCTGGTGTCGACTGGAACTGACTCCAGCCAAGGCATGGTGTAGCTACTTCAAGCCAGTGATTGTGCCTCTTGGCCCCAGTTTTCCTATCTGTAAAATGGGGGTCGCGAGGGCGGGGGTCATGGGGCTTGCGTGAGAAGGGGCTGCGTAGCACATGGGAGATGCACAATAAAGGAGCGATTCTTACAGGTGTACCTGCCTTCTTGACTTGATCTGACCTCTGCCCGGGGCTCCCTCCTCCCACTGACACCCTCCCTCCTCAGGACCCATCTTCTGACCAGCTTGCTTCTCCCATCCGCTGTCTCTCTACCTTCAGCTCCCTCCCTGCTCTGGGTGTCTCTCCTCTGACCCCCTCTCCTGCACCCCTACCGTCTGAGCCCTCTCCTCCTGGACACCCCTCTGTCCCCCTTTCCTGCACCCCTACTGTCTGACCCCTCTCCTCCTGGACACCCCTCTGTCCCCCTCTCCTGCACCCCTACTGTCTGACCCTTCTCCTCCTGGACAGCCCTCCTCTGACCCCCTCTCTTGCACCCCTAACGTCTGACCCCTCTCCTCCTGGACGCCCCTGTCCCCCTCTCCTGCACCCCTAACGTCTGACCCCTCTCCTCTTGGACACCCCTCTGTCCCCCTCTCCTGCATCCCTACCGTCTGACCCCTCTCCTCCTGGACACCCCTCCTGTGACCCCTTCTCGCCCATCCCTATCCTCTGACTCCCATCCATCTTCTGATCCCGTTTCCCCTGTGTCGCCTGTTTTTGCCTGAGCCCTCCCCGACGGGTCCTCATTCTCTCTCTAACCCCGCACCCTAGTCGCTGCTTTTGTAGCTCTCCGCCGCCAGGAGGCAGCACCTTGTTCGTGGGGCGGAGCCGGGTGCCCGTCCCCTTCCCCCTAGGGCTGGAGGGACCCCCCTCGGAGCCCGCCCACTCGAGATGAGGATGGTGGCCCGGCCCCCCCCCCCGCCTTCCCTCTGGGGGCCGCCCCCGCCCCGCGCGCTTCCTGGGTGGGGCCGACGCGGCTTCAAAACCCCCGCCGCCCCAGCCGGTCCCCCGCCGCCGCCGCCTCTCGCTCCCCGGGCCGTACCCCTCCCTCCTCCCGCCGCGGATCCGCCAGACAGCGAGGCCCCCGGCCGGGGGGAGGGGGGACGCCCCCTCCCGGGCACACCCCCGGCTCTGAGCCGCCCGCGGGGCCGCCTCGGCCCGAAGCGGAGGAAGGAGCCGCCGAGGAGCAGCCCGAGGCCCCAGAGTCTGAGACGAGCCGCCGCCGCCCCCGCCGCCGCCGCCACTGCGGGGAGGAGGAGCGGGAGGAGGGACGAGCTGGTTGGGAGAAGAGGAAAAAAAAGTTTTGAGACTTTTCCGCTGCCGCTGGGAGCCGGAGGCGAGGGGACCGCTTGGCGCGGCGCTGCCCCCGAGGAGTCAGGATTTGGGGACTCCGGACCCTCCTCCCGCCTCGGACGCTTGCTCCCTCTCTGCCCCCCACTCGGCGCCCCCCAGGCGCCCCATTCCGGACCAGCCCTCAGGAGCCACAAACCCGGACTCACGCGAAGACTTTTATCTCCCCCAGACCTCGGGCGCACCTCCCTGCACGCCGCCCTCTATCCGCAGCCTCTCTCCTGAGCCCCGGAGCACCCAAGGACGCTTCTCCCCCGGGAGACGGGATCTCTCTCAGAACTTCCTCAGCTTCCCAATTCAAGGCCACCCACCCTCTGGTTTCAGATCTTGCCCATCTCGGTTTTTCCCGTGGGATACCGAGACATCCCCCTGTCAGAGCCTCCCTTCCACCTCTGCTCCCTTCTCTCCCCAGACCCTCCTACCTCCCCCTGGGAGACCCCCAGCCCCTGCAGGGGCGGGGCCTCCCCCCAACCCCATCCCGGTTCGCGCCCTCGGCAGTGCCGGGGGGCGCCGCCTCCCCCATGCCGCCCTCCGGGCTGCGGCTGCTGCCGCTACTGCTGCCTTTGCTACGGCTGCTAGTGCTGACGCCGGGCCGGCCGGCCGCGGGGCTGTCCACCTGCAAGACCATCGACATGGAGCTGGTGAAGCGGAAGCGCATCGAGGCCATCCGCGGCCAGATCCTGTCCAAACTGCGGCTCGCCAGCCCCCCGAGCCAGGGGGAGGTGCCGCCCGGCCCGCTGCCAGAGGCCGTGCTCGCCCTCTACAACAGTACCCGCGACCGAGTGGCCGGGGAGAGCGCTGAGCCGGAGCCGGAGCCCGAGGCGGACTACTACGCCAAGGAGGTCACCCGCGTGCTAATGGTGGAAAGCCACAACAGTGAGCTCGGAAGGGCAGGGGAGCCGGGAGGGGGGCCCCCAGGGGGCGCCGGAGTGCAGGGGTCACGGGGAGGAAATTACTGGCAGAGGAACTGGCAGAAGGAACAGGACCCCCGGGGGCGCCAGGATCAAGGGAAGTACCAAAGAGGGTGGGGCTGAGCCCCTCGCAGTTACCAGGTCTTGAATAGGAGGTCTTGAAGTGGACCGCTTCCAGGGGGCAATAGGAACATGCAGGATCGAGGGGGAGAGTCCCCGTGGAGGGAGAGAAGCAATCCGGGAGGAGGAAGACTAGACAAGAATGCAGGGGTTGTGGAGTGGCGGCTGCAGAGAGGAGAGTTGGGGTGGTAGAAGCGAAGACCCCAGCTTTTGGGAAAAGAGAGGCATGGAGAAAGCTGACCCAGAGATCAGGGGGTCGTGAGGCGGGGAAGATTGAGGAAAGGATAGGAAGGTGGGAGAATGGACCACTTCCAGAGGGCGGGAGAAACACATGGGATGGTGGTGGTGGTGGTGGGGGGATTCTCAGAGAATTAGGGAGTGTGATAAATACCAGGAGAAAGGGACGCAGACTCGTGGGGAGGAGGCTAGCGGGAGAGAAGCGAACACCTCAGGGGGTTGCGGGAGATGTGCGGGAAGGCGTTGTGGGTGCTTCGCATGGGAAGGTGAGAAGTAAAGGATGAAGCCCCGAAAAGGAAGCGACCACCGAAGAAACCTAGACTACAGGGCATGGGAAGGGGTTTACAGAGACGGGAGACAGCGTGGGAAAGGTGGACCGGGGTAGGGGTCGGGGTATAGCAAGCCCCCTGTATGCGCCGGGTGGAAGGGGGTGGGCTAAATGAGGAGTCGAGCCTTCTAAAAGAAGAGGGACGGGTGGCTGGAGGCAACTCTGCAAGCCAGGAGTGAGAACACGGAGCTGGTGGGGTGAGAAAGCCCCACGTGGGCGCCACGCGCGGGGGGAGGAGCCCCGCTTCCGCAAAGGGGAAGGAGAACCCCGCAGAGTTAAAGCTTGGGAGTCAGGACCCCAAAGTCTCAGTTCCTTCCGTGGAGGCTGGGGAAACCCCAGCGTCCGGTCGCCTCGCCCTCCCTTCCCGTGCCCCGGGGGCGGTGGGGGGGGGGCGGGGATCGCGCGCGGAGCCTCGGGGCGAGATGAGACAGGTCCGGTCCCCGCCCTCGCCGCTGCGTCGCCTCCCGCCCGCCCAGCCCACCCCGTTGGGGGCGGAACGACCGCTGGGCCCGCCTGGTCCGCGCCCGCGCGGGGTCCCTGCAGTCCCGGCGCCCCGCGTGGCCCAGAGGCTTGGAGGCAGCCCCCGCGGGGTTCAGTTTTTCGCTAGAGCAGTAGACTTGCTGGTCCCCGGAATACTCGTGCGCCCAGTTTGTGGGTCCAGCCAAATAACATGCCCCCCATCTCGTTCTCTCCTCCTTTTGCGTCCTTCACCTTCGTTGCAGAGTTTCACCGATACACCCCGCCCCTGTTGTTTCTCCCTAGACTGTCTGTCTCTCCCCCAACCCCGTGTGCCTCTGCATCGGTCTGGACGCCTTTCCATCTCTTTTCCTGTCTGTCTGTGCCCCTCCCTCTGTTCGAATCTCCCTGATCCCATTACCATTCCATTCGTCTCGGCTTGTGGGTCTCCCAGTTTCTGTCTCTCCTTTCTCTCTTCCTCTCCCCTTCTCCGCGGTTTCCCCATCTCTCCCTCCCTCCGTGCATCGCCCTGACCCTGCCCGTCCCTCCTTTCTCTCTTCCTCCCTATCTATCTTGCCCAGCCCCTGCTCTCGCCTTCCCTTGAGGTATGCTGAGTAACCGCTGGACCAAGAGTAGGGTTTATTTGTGTGTGTGGGCGCGGGACAGGGACTGATCTGACTGGAGTGAGGAGGAATAGGGGGAGGGGGCTCCAGGAAGAGGGTTCCTCTGTCGTTCCTCCTCAGAGCCACTTTCCACCATCCCTCACCCCCACTGTAGGAGGCCCAAAGCGGTGGCTCCCAAGCTGATCCAGGAGCTTCTGGTCTGCCTTCTGACCCCCACCCCTGAACTTTTCCTAGACTAGAAAATGGTCTAGCTAATTCTCTTCTTCCCCGGCAGCCGTTTTTACCTAGGTATGTGTCATGAACTTCACCTTCTCTAACCAGCTGAGGAGAGAGTTAAGGGAGGAACCAATTAATATTAATAATAATAGTCATTAGCAGGGAGACAGCATAGCCTAGGGATTAAGAGCACACAGTGCCTGCAATCAGAGGGCCTGAGTTTGAATCCCCACTCTGCAGCTTCCTGACCATGTGAACTGGGGGCAAATTGGTGCCTCAGTTTCCCCATCTACAAAGTGGATATAATAGTATTTTCCTCATAGGGTTGTTGCCGAATTTAACTATTTCAATGTTTATGACGTACTTTGAAGAGCTAGCCACTTTAACACGCACATTGAGTGACTGCTGTATGCAGACTCTTGTGCTACGAGCTTTCCCTGCATCATCTCACTTATTTTTCACTGTGATCCTGGCGTGGACCCTCATTTTACAGATGAGAAAGGAGAGTCTGGAGTGGAAGGCAGGGAGCTGGATGTTGTTGCTGTTTCCCAAAGAATAACAGAAAACACAGGCTCAGACAGGGGCTGTGACGCAGCCGGGAGGCAGCAGAGGCGTTGTCTGATCAGAGCAGAATTGTGCTCCATTGGGTTTTCAACGGCTGAGCTTTTGGAAGTAGATCGATTGCCGGGCCTTTCTGCGGTTAACTTGCATTTAAGGCTCCACGTGCTGGGGAGGACTAAGCAAGCAGATCTGCCCCCTTGGTGCCTGCCTTTGACTGGGTGGTCCATGACGGATGATGCTTCATGGGACAGAAGGGCAGTGAGGACCCATTTGACACAGAAGGAAATTGAGACTCAGAGGGGAGAAGCCATTCGCCCAAGGTCACACAGTTAAAAAGTGTTGGCACTGGACTCCAACCCAGGGCTCTCTGCTCTGGAACCTGCTTCTTAGACTTGGGGTGCACCTGCTCCCCTGCCCCTGCCAAACCCCTGCCATCCTCTCTCTCTGCTCTTCCCGTCTAGAAATCTATGAGAAACTCAGTCATGGCTCACACAGCATATATATGCTCTTCAACACGTCGGAGCTTCGAGAAGCAGTGCCTGAACCCGTTTTGCTTTCCCGGGCAGAGCTACGCCTGCTGAGGCAAAGTTTAAAAGTGGAGCAGCACGTGGAGCTGTACCAGGTAGGAGCACCTGCCGGACAGGTGGGCTGAGCTGGGGCGGAGGTGGTGGCCAGTTGGGGCCATAGGAAGGCTGGTGGCCACTAGCTCCATTCCCATGGACTCTGAAGTATTCCAATTGTGGAGGATGGAATAGGTCAGACCGCAGAATCATAGGGCTCTTTGAAACTTCCAGACCTAGCATCCTAGAATGTTAAACACTCAACAGGTTGGAATCTGAGGAGCTGGACTCTTTAAGAATGCAGGACTCTTGAAAGCTGAAGTCTCTTTAAAGGCTGGCACCTCTAGAACTTCTCTGTCCAGTATGGTAGCCACTAGCCACATATGGCTATTTAAATTGATTAAAATGAAATCAAGTTAAAAATTCTATTTCTCAGTCTCATTGGCCATATTTCTAGTGCCCTACAGTCACACACTGGAGCCCTGGTGGCACCGTGGTTAAGAGCTACGGCTGCTAACCAAAAAGGTCAGCAGTTCGAATCCACCAGCAGCTCTTTGGAAGCTGTATGGTGCAGTTCTACTCTGTCCTGTGGGGTCGCTGTGAGTCGGAATTGATTCGACAGCATATTGAACATTCGACCTCCAGCACAGGGGTGTCACACTCTTACAAGAAGAGAACCTTGACCAAGCTTAACTTGTCGGAGACTCGAGAACTCAGCTTTATCCTCTCAGCCCCTAGAGGGTTATATCCCCAGCCCCAGGGATCATTCCATACTATGGCCTTGGCATCAGGAAGTGTCTAGGTTTGTGGCATGTCAGACTCTTGGGTTTGTAGAACCTTAGTCTCCCCGAACTTCTTAGGCTTAGTCAGTGTGGAATTCTTGGAACAATATTGAGCCATGAGCCTTATAGAATAACGTCAAACGTAAGTCCTTCGAAAGTTATAAACTCAGAATTCGGGTGTCAGATTTGCTGAACTATATGCCTAGCAGACTCCAGAAAGTTGGCAGCAGAATCTTAGCATCGTGGGCTGTCCAAGTTTAAGGTATCAGCATTTACCAGCGAGGAAACTGAGGCCTCGAGAGGGAAAGAAAATGCTCTGGTCCCCCAGCAAGGCAGAGGCCGAGCTGCTGACATAGTGCCTTGACTCCCAGCCTGGGGCTCTTTCCGCACCTCTCCTCTCAGGGTGCTGTGGGGGCGAGCGGTTCCTGCAAGGCCCCACAGTGTGGATGTCTGGTAGGGTAGTGTCTGGGGGACGGTCTGGAGGCCATTGGGGGGAAGAGATGGTATGGGGGCGCAGTCAGTGTATGTAGGGGCACGGCAGCATCTACCCACTATTTCTTCCATTTATCATCTCCCAGAAATACAGCAATGATTCCTGGCGCTACCTCAGCGACCGACTGCTGGCCCCCAGCGAGTCGTCGGAGTGGCTGTCCTTCGATGTCACTGGAGTTGTGCGGCAGTGGCTGAGCCACGGAGGTGAGGTCTGCTGACACGCCCCACCCCTCTTTCTCAATGGGTGGACTGCACTGTTTGTCCTGGGGCCAACCTGCCTAGCACACCACTCCCCATGAGCATGTGTGGGTGTCCAAGAGCTGAGACCTGGCCCTCCTGCTGGACACTCAAACCTGAGTGACTAATTCATTAATCCGTTAATGGTTAATAACCCATTTCCTGAGTACCTGCCCAGTGCCCTGCCCTGTGCTGGTTGATGTTAGGGACACAGCAGTGACTGAAGCGGCCCTGTCCTTGCCCTGGAGAGGGCAGGAACACATCTGTGACCAGGCGGTGATGACCTGGAGTGGACTGGGCTGTGACTGGGGAGCCCAGAGGAGGTGCCTGCCCCAGCCTGGGAGTCAGGGAGGGCTTCCTGGAGGAGGGGGCATCTGAGCTAATCTCTGAGGGGTGAGTAGAACCAGTTGGGAAAAAAAGGGACAAGAGCATTCGGGGCAGAGGAAACAGCCTGTGCAAAGGCTGTGAGGCCAGAGAAAGGCTGACACGTTTGATCCATCCAGAAGCTGACTACATCTGTCCTGTTTGTGGCTGAATCCACAGGGCCCGTGTCTCCTTTCATTACCTCTCTATCATTAGTGCATTCATTCAATAAATGCCGACAGGTTCCTGCCCTGTGCCCAGTGGTGTAGGCGACGCAGTGCCAACCAAGACAGACCAGGTCCTGCCCTCAGGGGGCCAATGGTTATTTCCAGACACCTAGGAAGTCTTGCCAGAGTCTTCCCAGAAGAGAAATGATCAAGGCCAGGACAGGGGAGGCACAAGGGTCAGGGCCAGGAATGGGGAGGTGCAGGCAGAGGGGTCAGGGCAGGGTCAGGGAAGCCCTAACTTCTGTGGGAGCCCTGAGAAGGCCCCAGATCCCATGGAGGGGGGTCCCATAGGGCTTCCTGGAGGAGAGTGATTGTGTTGAGACTCCCAGGATAAGTAGCAGATTGGCCAGATGCAAAGATGGGGCCTGGGGAGTGGATGGGGGCTGAGAGGAGTGTTCTGGGCAGCTGGACAAAGGCCTGGAAGGGCTGCGTCTGTGTTGGTCAGTGCTGAGCCCTGAGTGCCCAGTGCCTAGTGCTTTGTGCTCCAGCACGTAGTAGGAGCTCCAACACGTAGTGGGAGCTTAGGAAACGTCATTCACTCATTCATTTGTCCCCCACTGGCTGCTGGGAAAGAGCCCAGGCTTGGATTTGCCTCCCAGCCCTACCTTTTTCCGCCTGTGTGACCCTCAGCAGGTTACTTCCTGTCTGTGCACTCAGCTTCCTTGAGTTTTGGTGAAGATTAAAGAAGTGTCTAGAACAGGGCCTGGCACCCAGGACATGCTCAGTAAATGCTCACTTTAATGACTGTGGGCCAGACCCAGTGGGGAAGGAAAAAACCAAGTATCCACGCCCCATGCAGCTTGCTTTCTGCTCATAAAACCGGAGAAATAAACAGCCAAACACAGACATCAGAGGGGGAGAGAATGAAAGTGAAGTGACAGTGGGGACGGGCCTGTGGTCCTGAGGGACTCCCTGAGGAGGTGACATTTGAGCTGAGGCCAGAAGGAAGGGAGAAAACTGGAGCAAGAGAGGCGCAGGCACAGGGCACAGCAAGTGAAGAAGCAGGAAGGGCTGTGGTTTGTCTCCTCCCTTCCTCTTCCCCAGGGGCCGGGCGAGCTGCCCTCTGACTGGCTCCCTGCCCCCACTCCCACAGGGGAAATAGAGGGCTTTCGCCTCAGCACCCACTGCTCCTGTGACGACAAAGACAGCAAACTCCAAGTGGAAATCAAAGGTGAGGCTGGCTTCCTTGGGCCAGCCCCTGCCTACTGCTTCCCCTTGGCCTCGATCCATCCCTCTGAGTGTGTGTGTGTGTGTGTGTGTGTGTCACACTGATCCATCCCTCTGAGAGAGTGTGTGTGCTTGTTCCTCCCTGGCCCGCCCCCATCATCCTTCTGAGCGTATGTGTCCCTGAGTCTCCTTCCCCCATCCCCCAAACTATCCCTCTGAGTATGTGTCTCCTCTCCCCTTCCCCCATGGATCCACCTTTCTGAGTGTTTGTTTCCCCTACTGCCATGGATCCATCCCTCTGAGTATGTGTCTCCTCTCCCCTTCCCCCACGGATCCACCTCTCTGAGTGTTTGTGTCCCCTACCGCCATGGATCCATCCCTCTGAGTGTGTGTCTCCTCCCCGCCCCCCCACACCAAAGCAGGGCTCAATAACAACCAGCGCAGGGGTGACCTGGCAGCCATTCACGGCATGAACCGGCCCTTCCTGCTCCTCATGGCCACCCCGCTGGAGAGGGCCCAGCACCTGCACAGCTCCCGGCACCGGCGGGCCCTGGACACCAGCTACTGCTTCAGGTGAGCCTTGCAGCCTTTGACTGAGCCCTTCCAGGCTGGGACCCGACTAGTGTCTGCTAACCAGTCACTCTGGGTTGGGCACCTGGCTGGCGCTGTTCCTTGGCTGAGTGTTGCCTTCCGCCTGGAGCGTGCAGGAGATGAGGTCTGAGTCCTAGAATGCTGGAATGTTGGGACTGGGAGTCTTAGAATGTTGGAATTAGGTTACTTTCTTGCTGGAGTGTTGGAATCAGAGACTGTTTGAATTTTGAACACCAAGAAAGTTGGAATTCAATGTCGGGAGGTTGCTATGTTTGATTCCTATCTTGTTGGCAGGTTGGAGTTCTAGAATGTTGGGAATTCTAGAATGTTAGTCTCCAGTATTGTTGAAATCTAGGGAAGCTGGAATGTTGGGATCCTAGAATTTGGGAATTCAGAATTGGAAGGTTGCCCACGTTGGACTTCTGTAGTGTTGGCAGATTGGATTCCTCAAACGTTAGCAGGTTGGAGTCTTTGAATGCTGGGCTCAGAATGGTGGAAATCTGTGTTAAGATATTAGGATTGACAAATGCTGGAGTCAGAGAAAGCCTGACTGTCGGTATCTTAGGCTGTGTTCTCTAAAGAAGCAAAACCAGTGAAGCATATATACATACAGAGAGAGAGAGAGATTTATCTCAGGAAAATAGCTCACATGGTTATACAAGCTGGCAAATCCCAAGTCTGTGGGTCAGGCATCAGGCTGGAGGCTTCTCCTGATTCACATAGCTGCAGGGGCTGATGAACCAAAGATCAGCAAGTCAGATGGCAGGCTGCTGGCTCACAGGCGTTGGAGGCTGATGAATCCCAAGACTGGGGCAATACGGCAGGCTGCTGGCTCAAGTCCCAAGAACCGGAGGTCAGATGATGACGAGCCATATGCAGGATCCAGAGCGAGCAAAAGCCAGCGAGCTTTGCCAGAACATCCGTATATATTGGATGCAGGCCACACCCCTGAGGAAACTCCCCTTATGACTGATTGGCTGATCACATCAGCTCACATCAGGGAGGTGATTACATTATATCACAAAATAGAGCATAACTCCATCATTGCATAACTGCCAAATTACATCATTACATAACTGTCAAACCCCTGAGAATCATGGCCCAGCCAAGCTGACATACAACCTTAACCATCATAGTCCACCCCTTGTCAATTTGGCACCTGTACACATCTTAAACCATACACAACTCTAAATAAAGACAATTACAAAGTCATATTTGTGCCTAACATGGTACAACTAACATGCGTACAACCAAAATACACTAGTCCCATTTACATCTTATATTTTATAAGTGAAGAAAACAAAAATATTTGATGCACGCATACAAGGAAGGAATACTCATAACAATTACATACCTCATTTCTGCAACTGGTCACATGGTTGTAACTGGTATTTAGAACTACCTTCTTCCACCACCCGTTCCTATTCTCTTTGCCCTCAGCAAGAACCTTAGCTGATTGTGGTTCGTTTTCAATTAAGTGCCACCTCTCGGCCCCTACCACCAGGGGGTCCAATCAGCCCCACTGTAGTTAGGTTTCTTAATTCAGTTAGGGCAGTTCCCACTGTCAAATCTGACTTACATGAAATAGCAGTACAGTAGTCTTCCAGGATGCTGGGGCTCCCTTCACAAATTTGCTCCTCACCGTTGTGGTAAAAAGCGTGTCCTCTGGGCACTCCATATGTGGGTCTGTGGGTCTAACTTGTTAAATCCACTCAACATGCCAATTTCCCTAAGCCTTTGGTTACCTTCTTCTACAGTATACCAAGGCAGGTCTGGTACTTCAACTTGATTTAGTGTCGGCCACCTCATAATCCATGCTTCAGTGACCCAACCAAATAAACTGTTAGATCCTTTCCTAACCTCTTAAGCTGAAACACTGAATGAAGAATCTGTGCTTAGTGGGCCCATGTCCATAAACTCGAACCGAACCAACTTTATGTTACTTGCACCATTATCCCACACCCTTAGTAGCCATTCCCACACATATTCCCCAGGTTTCTGTTTGTACATATTTGAAAAGTCAAGCAGTTCTTTTGGAGTGTAGCGTACCTCCTCCTGGGTCACATTTTTTGCTTCACCTTTTTAGCTTGCTGGGACTTAAGTCTAGTTATAGGTCTAAAAGCAAAAATGGGTGCTGGGGATGTGTTCTGAGAACATTCAGCAATGTCTTGTAAGGTATCTGCCTCAAGCGATGCCCCAAGCAATACTCAGATGCCACCCCAGGTGATATCTCAGACAGAGGCCCTTCAGACACAGCTAGGTTAATCTCATCAGTTGGGGGTGGAGAGGATAAAGTGATTTCACTGGGGAGAGTGGTTTAACAGACAAACATGGAGTAATCTCTTCAGATGAGAGTGAGAGGGTTGCTTCTGTTGGCAGGAGTGATTCCATGGAATTTAGGGGCTCAGTGTCCCCAGCTTCCTGATTATCTGCCCATATGTCCCCATCCCAAGTTTCAGGATTCCATTTCTTCCCAATCAGTGCCCTCACTTTAACTTCAGACACCATTCAATGTTGGGAATTCAGCTGGTGTTGTAATTCAGACACTCTTACCATAAGACTCTGGGTTTGGTTTTCGGCAATATCGGCTTTGTTACTACAATAAATAAGAGTTTCTTTCAGGGAACAAGTGGCAACTTTGAGGTTGTTTATGTAGCACTTGAGCTGTGACTCTGAAGCCCTGAGCTCATCTCTTTCTTTCACTGCTTTGTCTAGCGAAAGTAGGACCAACCAACCAGCTTCCTTATTCTTCTCATTCTGACAGAATTGTCAAAAAATATCAAACAGGTTTTCACCCAGGGTCTCGCCTCTCACCAATACTTGATCTATTGGTGGTAATAGTTTGTGTATTTCTATTGTTGCCTCATGCCATGGATTAGCAGTGCCCACTTTACTACTGGAAGAAGAGTCGTCAACATCTTTAAGACTAACCAAACTTGAGAACCAATGTAGAAAACTCATCCTTACAATTTTGTTTCTCTAGAACCACTCTCAGTACCAAATGTCTTAGGCTGAGTTCTCTAGAGAAGCAAAACAGTGAAGCATGGGTGTGCATATATATATATATATATTTATCCCAAGGAAATGCCTCACATGCTTGTAGAAGCTGGAAAGACCCAAGTCCATGGGTCAGGCATCAGGCTGGAGGCTTCTCCTGACTCATGTAGCTGCAGGGGCTGATGAACCCAAGACTGGCAGGTCAGATGGCAGGCTGCTGGCTCACGGGCTGTAGAGGCTGATAAATCCAAGATCAGCAGGTAAGATGGCAGGATGCTGGCTCGTAGGCTGAGGAGGCCAACAAATCCAAAGATCAGAGCAATATAGCAGGCTGCTGGCTCAAGTCCCAAGAATTGGAGGTCAGATGATGATGAGCCAGATGCAAGATCCAGAGCAAACAAAAGCCAGCGAGCTTTGCCAGAGCATCTATATCTATTGGATGCAGGCCACACCCCTGAGGAAACTCCCTTTACAACTGATTGGCTGATCACATCAGATCACATCATGGAAGTGATTACATTATATCACAAAATGGAGCGTAACTGCCAAGTTACATCATTACATAACTGCCAAACCACGGAGAATTATGGTCTAGCCAAGTCGACACACAGCCTTAACCATCACAGTTAGTATCCTGGAAATGTTGAAGGGCAGTGTTAGAATGTTAGAATCTTGGAATGCTGGGATCTTAGAAAGTGGCAGGTTGGACCCTTTGAATGATGGACTCAGAAATGTGGAATATTATTGGACTGCAGTAAGGAAATGTTGGAATTCACGAATGTCAAGATCTTCAAGAGTTGGAACGTGAGAATCCTAGAAAGTTGAAAATCGTTGGAGTGTTAGAATCTTGGGTGCTGGAATATTGCAATCTAAGATTGAAATGTTGGATTCCTAGAATGTTGAAATTCAGGGTTAGAATGTTGCAAATTTAGAATGAAATCTGACCTTGTCCTTCCCCTGCATAAAATGTTTTGGGGTACCTCTGGGCTGTATAGAGGTCCCTGGGTGGTGCAAACATTTTGCACTCAATTACTAACCTACAAGTTGGTAGTTTGAGCCCACTCAGTGACTCTGCAGAAGAAAGGCCTGGCAATCTTTTCATAAACATCACAGCCAAGAAAACCCTATTGAGCAGTTCTACTCTGTAACACCAGGGATTCTCCGTGAGTCCTAATCAACTCTATGGCAATGGAGTTTGTTTTTTGTTTTGTTTTCCGAGCTTTGTTACTTGCTATTCCCCCTGCCAGAAAGCCAGCCCTTCCCTCAGGCTCCTTCATCCCCAGATCCCAGCAACCCCTCGTGAATGAATGGATTGTGACCTTGAGCACCAACAGCACCAACATTACAAAGAGAGACAATCAACCATATGAGCCCCCATAGGCGTGGCCATGACACCATCTAGGAAGTCTTGCCAAAAAATCAAACCTGCATCTGGCCAAGACTCTGGATCTAACTACCAATTTTCCAGAAATATGGGGACAGAGGAACGTGCTAAGCAACACCGTAGGCACGCAGTCAGCAAAACGCAGGTTATGGGAAATTTGACCCAGTTTCTTCAGCCAAAGCAGCGTAAAGGGGGAAGCTAGAGACAGAGAGTACTGTAGAGTTTTTAAAGAATCTTAAGAGACATCTCAATTACAATGTGTAGACTTTACTTGAAGCTTGTTTTATACAGACCATTTGAAAAAAAAAAAAAGACATCTATGAGACGGTTGGGAAACGTGAACACTGACCGGAAGTTTGATGATGATCATCAAGGAAGGATTATTAATTTTTTTTACCTGTCAATCTGGTTGTGTTTTAAAATAGTCCTAATTCTCGTAGAGAAATACATTGAAATATTTATGGATGAAATGATATGATGGCATGCGCTTCAGAATATTCCAGTGGGATCCACACAATGGAGTATTATTCAACCATAAAGAGAAATGAATCCTGATACATGCTATGACATGGAGGAACCTTGAAAACATACCATCCTGAGT